TTTAACAACCGGCGAACTCAATTTCCTTACGATTTGACAGAGAATTTGAATGTGTGCTTACGAAAATTCGAGCTGTGCAACTTTCAGAATGAAACCTCCGGTTCCATTGGTACGTATCCGATTAACATTTCAAAAATTAATTTACAGTGCAAGTTTTAACTTTAAATTTGGAAATTTTGGAATTTGGAAATTGTGGAATTCGGAAATTTTGGAAATTGCGAATTTTGGAATTTGGAAATTGTGGAATTTAGAAATTATGGAATTTAAAAATTGTGGAATTTGGAAATTGTGGAAGTTGTGAATTTTGAAATTTGGAAATTGTGAAATTTAGAAATTATGGAATTTGGAAATTGTGGAAGTTGTGAATTTTGAAATTTGGAAATTGTGGAATTTAGAAATTTTGGAAGTTGTGAATTTTGGAATTTGGAAATTGTGGAAGTTGTGAATTTTGGAATTTGGAAATTGTAGAAGTTGGGAATTTTTTAATCTTAAGTCTTAGAATCCCAGAATTTTAGTATTGTAAAAGTTTAGAATTTTGGACTTCCCGCATTTTAGAATTTCAGAATTTTCCAACTTCCGTATTTCATGTTTTTATTACAATATTTAAAATCTTTGATATTAAAAAATTTGTATATTATTGTGTTATCTATAATAAGGTATGCTCAATAAAAAATATAAAATGACTATTTACATAAAAACAGAAAAACCAAACTTAAAAAACAATTTATTCCTTCTAAAATCAAAAGCTAAAGTCGCAGAAAGTGAACCTCTATTCATCGTTGAGCAATAACACGATTAAATACTAGATATTCAAGTTCTCGAATCGTCGTAGGTATCCAGTTTTTCGTGAGTATAAAAAGGCGGAGAAAATGCAAGATCACGTGCGAAGATTTAAAAGGTCGGGAACCGCGTGAGCGAAATTCCATGTTTCTCGGTGGAAAAGCAGCGGTCGGGATTTACTTTAATTGCGATTTTCTATGCCAAGTAAAATACCCAGGCTCAGGATACACTTACTCTCGTACGTATTAATGCCTCCAGACGCTTCTGAATCGACGCCTTTGCACTCCGAAAAATGCTGCCAGACACGCGACGATGAATTCACTGTCGACTACTTTCCTCTCATTATAATATATTTGAATAAGCCTAGAATTTTTATCCCCGATTTGTTGTCAGCTGTTAGTCCCATCATTTTTGAGTAAATGCATGGAGAATTTTAGCAGAGGAAAGTATTAGAACGGGATAGTAAGTTGGAATGGATACGAAGTGTTTTGAGGGTGGTAATATGATTAGTATACAGTCGTTGACTATACAATTAGGACCACGTATGAAAATTTCACTTTTATTGCTATAAGATTATGTCATGAATGGAAAATTGTCTTGTATACAAATTCCCAAGTTTTGTGCTCTTTGTCTTACAAATTTTCAAATTTTTAAATTTTGTCACTTTTAAATTTTCAAATCTTTTATACTTTTTAATGTTTTTCAAATGTTGTAATATACAAACTTTAAAATCTCAAATTTTGTATTCAATCGTACAAATTTTCAAATTTTATCATTTTTAAACTTTCAAGTCTCTCATACTTTTTAATGTTTTAAATTTTCAAATGTTATATACAGAATGCCTTACCTCATTTTGGTATCTAAATTTGCGTCATTATTATTACTCATAGCAAACAATGTTTTAGATGAAGTTGAATGGTTTTGAGTGGGTCATACGTTGATGGTATATTTTTTTGTAGGTGAACGTGCAAAGGACATATGAAGGTCATTAATGTTTCTTTAATTGGAATCATATATTTTTTATTGCATCAACTGATACTCCTTCATATTCTTTACAAAAAAGTATTTAACTATTTATGTGAAAAAATCATTAGTTTAGGAGATATTTTAATTCTAACTTGTTAGGAAATCGTGACTTTCTGGTCAATATTATGAATTGCCCTAACTGAACAGCAAATGTTTTCTTACATGATTTGAGAGGTCACGTGTCACCAAACGAATTGTGAGTTTTTGTGTTTTTTTGTTACGTAGTAACAGTGAAATTTTGTCTCTGTTGCGTCTGTAATACGATGAATACCGCGATACGGTGAATTATCACTTCATAATGAAGTATTCTATAGAAGAAAAGATAGACAGGTTATCAGTTTATTTTGAAGTTGAGAAAAGTATTACACATGTAGATAGATTATACACTACGGAATGTTAGTAAGTCATTAATTTCTCGATTCAGAAAGTGTTCTGATACAAATAGTCGCCACATTGAACCTTTTCTGTAAATAGACATAAAAATTAAAATATCTCCTAAACTAATGATTTTTTTACATAAATAGATTTATACTTTTTTATAAAGAATAGGAAGGAGTATCAGCTGATGCAATAAAAAATATATGATTCCATTTAAAAAAACATTAATGACCTTCAAATGTCCTTTACACGTTCACTTAAAAAAAAAATATACCAGCAGCATATGCCGCTCTCAAAACCATTCAACTTCATCTAAAACATTGTTTGCTATGAGTAATAATAATGACGCACATCTAGATGGCAAAATGTGGTGAGCCACCCTGTATAAATAATTGAAATACCTCCGCATTAAACGACACACGACAAATATTCAAATTCCCTAGAAAATGGAACAGTTGATCGATATCGCAACCAAGAAAATTTGAAGTAGCATGACATTAACGAGTTAACAACGCAAAAAGTGTAACGCTGTATAAAACAGATTGTCGAAAAGAGGTTGTGGTATCACGATTTATTGGATTGTACAACGAAATGCGAAATATTCCTGTGATATCGGGAAAAAATTGTGTTATTAAAATTCGATGGCGGGGTATTATTGAAAAATTGAAGTAGGTATGCACCAACCGTCAAATGATGAAACGTAGGGGACGTAGGAGTTATTATTATTCGATTGAATTCTTCTCGTTTATTTGAACGTAAAGGGCTCCTACATAGGGGTTTCAATTTCGCATTCCACGTTGCCGAAGTTCACCATCTAAATTTCAAATTTTAACCCGGAAATTTCAAGTTGCGAGCTTCGGACTTTAAAACTGGCAAAGTTTCGAATACGCGGAGTTGCGGACTTTAAATATCAATTTTTTGAGGGACAGGATTTAAAGTGGTTTAACTGCGTGTGAGTTCTGGAGTATAAAATTGCTGTGCGATATTTATTTCTGAAGTGTTTCACACATTTTAGGATACTTTTATTTTCGTATTTTACTTTTCTTTTGGTATTTATATTTTTTTTACTGATTTTTGGTTTTTATATTTTTGTTGCTGATTTTATATTTCTAGGATTTAATGTCAAAGTGACTGGGTGCAGATAAAATAATTTTCTTTGCTTAAACTATTTTTGTCTTTTTCTTAAAATAATTTGTACTGTTAAAATAATAAAATGTAAAGATATATGTAAAATTCATCATATATAACTCATGTGATAACTGAGTACAGTAATCATATGATAACTGAGTCATGTGTACAATTTATAGAAATAAATTATTTTGTAGGGGAAACAATTAGTTTAATATGAAAATTGAAGTTCGAAAATTTCTATACATTTTTTTGTCCTTCTTTGGTAGAAAATAAATAGTAAATTGATTAATAGTATTAATACAGTAATTGATAGTAAGGTAATTAGTACAAAACGTGAAGAATTAATAGCAAATTAATCAATACAAAATATACAGAATTAATAGTAAATTAATACCAAATGTGCAGAATCAATAGCAAAGCAATTAATACCAAATGTGAACAATTAATAGCAAAGTAATTAATACCAAATGTGTAGAATCAATAGTAAATTAATTAGTGTAATCTATAGGATTAGTATAAAATGAAACCTATTGCAACGACGTAAATATTAGTGTACAAAAACAAAATTATTATTCCTGTAAAATAACATGAGCAGCGATGACTCCTACTATATTTTATCAAACGTGGCTTCTCGTCAATTAAATTTCAAAAACGACAGTACTGAGCATCCGAGAATTATATTAATTATTTAACATCCACGAAGGATTATCTTTCTGATCATATTTCCGTATAGTGTGTTAACACCACTTCGGTTACGAACCGTAATCGGTATTGACTGGTCAGATTACGTTCGATTATCGCATAAATATTCAAACGTATGTATATTGTTCACGGTAAATTGCACGTAGAGCTTCAAATCCCTTTAATACTATGAAACATAACATGTTCTGCACTATTTTCTGAAGTTGTATTTTACCTCTTCCCTATTACTGAAAATTATATTCAAAAATAAAATAAATTACATATCAATCTCGTGAGAATTATTATTTTTAATTATATGTGAATTATATTCATGTTATACGAAATTATATTTAAAAATACAATAAAATGACACGTCAATCTTGTAAGAATATAATTATTATTTTTTATTATATGTAAATTGTATTCATGTTATATGAAATTATATTCAAAAATAAAATAAATGACATGTCAATCTTGTAAGAATTATTATTTTTTAATATATGTGAATTATATTCATGTTATACGAAATTATGTTCAAAAATAAAATAAATGACATGTCAATTTTGTAAGAATTATTATTTTTTATTATATGTAAATTGTATTCATGTTATATGAAATTATATTCAAAAATAAAATAAATGACATGTCAATCTTGTAAGAATTATTATTTTTTAATATATGTGAATTATATTCATGTTATACGAAATAATATTCAAAAATAAAATAAATGACCAAACTTGTAAGAATATAATTATTATTTTTTATTATGTGTGAATTATATTCATGTTACATGAAAGTGAAATAAACAGTTAAGAACGTGATTAAGGATAAAAGCTAAGAAATAAAAATGATGGTTAATTGAGCAGAAGAGTTGGTATGAAACCTCGATCAACGATCAAGATCAACACTGGCAAAATGGCGGATTACACCAAGCGAAACACCAGCACGCTGCTTTCCGGTACAGGCTTGTAAACAACGAAGCAACCAGATGTAAAACAACCTACCTTTCTCACAATAGGCACCCTCATAATCGCCGGACCTGCACTCACAGATGGGTCCACTGTCGGTGGAAATACAGATACCGCCATGTTGGCAGGGATCACGAGTTTCACAGGCATCTGTCGTATTGGTTGTCATCATGTTGCGTAAACTCTGTGAACAGACAATAGGAAAGTAACGTTAACGTATCCGTATGGATATCAAAGCGTGCTACATGCGGATAGGAAGCTACGATGGAGAAATCGATATCGAGAGGACCAGTTTCTCGCAAAGTATCGTGGAAATACGCGGTGAAAAAGGAAAATGCTCAAAAAACGAATGGCTTTTCTCGATCACGAGAATCAATGCTTTGCCAGATATACACGTCATCGATCACGCTATTCAATGTGAAGTGGGACATAATCAAAAAGTATTGCTTTCAATGTACGGTTTTTAGGGAAGATGTAATTTTGTAATATTGCAGTGTTGGCCAAAAATGTGAAACTGTTCGTATAAATGTGGGCCACAATAAGGAATACAAATTTTAATATAAAACTGAGGTTCAGTAAAATATATTGCAGAAATGTATTTTGCAATTTTATGGTATTGTACAGAATTAAATTATACGTACAAAGGTATAATTCAAAAACATGGTTTAATGTAAGATTTTTAGTGGAAACACATTAGAGGAATATACTCTTTTGTTATATTATGTATGTCAATCAGGAATGTAAAATTGCTCATGCAGAAATGTAGAAATGGGACAAAATGAAAGAAGTTTTTAACGTAGCAGTTTTTAATGAAATACATGTGAAAAATGTATGTCTCTAATTTCGTTATATTGTACAAAGCATTAAATAGTATAAAATTCATAAAATTTCGAAACGGAGAAAATGCGACTTTTAGTGAAAATATATTTAAAAGAAAATCAGTGTTATTTTATATCACGTACTTGCTACATGTAATTTGAAATTAGATTTATCACTAAAATTTTTTAAATCGTATAAAATTTCACCCCGTATAATATTTGCCCTGCTTAACATCTGTTTTCAACTCATTATATTTAAAATTGTGTCACTTATAAAATATAAATAACATTGCCTCTCAAATTTTATTAGTTCATCTTTTCTTTCAAAAATTTGTCTAATTCTCATAAGCTATTTTTGTAATTTCTCATAAGCTAGTTTTGTTTAACTTTTCCTAGCTTTTATCTCTTATCTCACTAACGTTTAATACGTTTCCTAGAAACGTGCTTAGTACCTTCAGAAACGTGTGTTTAATACAGAAGCGTAAAATTGAGTTAGTACGAAAACATGGAAGAAAACCCACTCTAAAAATACAAAAAGAACTGACCACTGGTAGAATAGAGTTCCCTAGGGGAAATGGCGATATTGGGAAAGAGTCTCTGCTTCTCACACGTAAACGTTTACCTGCGGAAAGTTTACTGTTCGTCGAATACGAAAATGTTCTGTACAAACTATAAAATATCTCGTTAACCCTTTGGACAGTTTACACAAAATGTTAAGTCAAGTAGTGAATCAGTCGATGCAGTTTACATCAAATTCTTTGACAAGTAATGTAACTATTCGTTTTTAACGGCGATTCAAAATTAAGTATAATGAAAAAATTCGTTATGACAACATTAATAACAACATTAAGTATAATGAAAAGCTTCAAAATGTTATTATAATGAAGAAATTCGAAATGTTATTATAATGAAGAAATTCAAAATGTTAGTCTAAGGACAAAATTCGAGGTTGGGTATATTAAAACATTTTCAAGCTTTTAAATTGGATAATTTAATTGAATAATAAACATTATTTAACAGCATACTGTACAACAGATTTGTCCATGAGTTTAACAATATTTTTATGATGAGTGCACACAATTAAGGTACTAGTAGTTAACTAGTTTTTAGAATACATAAAAATAAGGTTTTCATAAGTCACTTCTGAGGAAAGTCATATGTGTCACACGTGTTAACAGCACACAGTGCAACAGATTTGTCTATCAGTTCAGCAATATTTTTATAATTATTGCACGCACTTAAGATACTAGTAGTTAGGTAGTATTTAGAAGACGTAAAAATAAGGTTTCCATAAGTCACTTCTGAGGAAAGTCATATGTGTCACATGTGTCAGTTAAAACAGTTACATGTGAAGCGAAGTACGCTTAATAATGAATGTCTCCAGACATCGACTGACATTTAATGATAGACTAAATGTTGATCACGTGGAGGATTTATCTTAACCTTAACCTAGAATATCACACTCGTGACGCACACTACAGTTCACATGTGACGCACCATCCTCTTTTTCCTTACAATTGAATTTTTGGTTCCATTCTAACTATAATCTGTATAATCAAGGATCACTAAAGGTAGATTAATTTTAACCTTCTTTGGTTGTCTTACTGTCGTAATAATTCTCACTACCAATTCTTTACATTTTCATATCCACAAAACAACTACAAAAATCCCCGATTTGCAGGTTCCTAAATTTTTAAGTCTTCGAATCCTTGTATCCCCAATTCCATAACCCCAAATCTCAAAATCCCCAATTTCAAGAACCTAGATATGTCTTCGAATCTCTAAATTTCTAAATATCTAGATCCCTAATTCACAAGTCCCCAAATATCTATGTCTCAAAATTTCTACATCCCAATCTCTCAGATCCCCAAGTTCCTACTACAACATTCCTAAATTTTCATATTCATAAATCAAATACAAAAATCTCAAATTTACAGGTTCCTTTTCTAAGTCTTCGAATCCTTCTATCCCCAATTCCACAAGCCCCAAATACCAAAATCCCTAATTCCAAGAACCTAGATATGTCTTCGAATCTCTAAATTCCCAAATATCTATGTCCCAAAATTTCTACAGCTCCAACTTCTCAGATCCCCAAATTCTTACTACGACATCCCTAAATTTTCATATTCACAAATCCACTATAAAAATCCAAAATTTGCAGGTTCCTAAATTTCTAAGTTATCGAATCCTTGTATCCCAATTCCACAACCCCCAAATCTCAAAATCCCTAATTCCAAGAACCTAGATATGTCTTCGAATGTCTACATTTCTAAATATTTAGATCCCTAATTCACAAGTCCCCAAATATCTATGTCCTAAAATTTCTACAGCCCAACTTCTCAAATCCCCAAGATATAAATGACGCAAACCTAAAAAATTAGGTTAATAGACTACCGGTACCTGAAATGTCTGGATAACTGAAAATGTACTTGTACCACTTTCAAAATAAATGTTTGCGATGTTCATTTACAACGTAACAAGTCGAGAAGCAACTAAAGGTGGCAATTTCAAGTTCCATGTACAAGGTATATTTCCTGTAAGCTGTCCGAGCCAGGACGATTTTTCACGGTTAAAATCCCGGGAGTTTCCAGCAAAATCGAAAGCCCTTTCGCGTGGATTCTTCGTCATCTTTAAATGGCCAGGAGCCAACCGAGGAACGATCTTCCGCATAATATAATCAAGCAGACCGTTGCAGCTGACCCGGTAACCCGGTACGTGTATCCACAAAGTCTCGTTTTAAAGGCAAAAGAAAAAGAGGCTGAAAGTTCCCTTGCCGGTTTCGGTAAACGTCGTCGACTACGAAGAAAAACCGAATATGTAGGCCGTGTCTCAACGGCGAAAAAGCAGCTACCGGCTCATTTGAGAGATTGCGGAGGCGCTATGGGAAAACGGAGAAAAGGCGACGCGAAAAGAAAACGAAGGTGGAGAAATACGGCTGGCAGCTTTATCTCAAATAGCGATACAAACGTTCAAGACGAATGGAGTGCAAGAAATGGTTCAATTCGATAATTTTTGTTGAATTATGATGTAAGAACTGTATACAGGCAAGAATTATTGGGGTGATGATATATGGCTGGTAAATTTGAGATATTTACGGTACTCTGGTAAAATAGATTTATTGCACGATTTTGTTGCTTTTTCGTTCTCTTTCTCTTTCGTTCTTTTTCGTTGCTGTGGTTCTCTTTGCGGTTCATTGAAAATGTGGAAATTCGAAAAGTTAATATTTTGGATTTGGAGATTTGAGAATTTGAATATTTGTAATTTTGCACTTTGAAAATTTGGACTTCGAAATTTGAGCAGTTGGAGTTTGACAAATTGAAAATTTAAAAATTCAGTGATTTAATAATTTGAAAATACAGGAACTTGGGAAGATTTGAAATCAGAATGCAAATTCCATTGTTAGATCTTCAAATCCTAGATCTTGTATAGATTCCCAAACCCGAGGTCTACAAACCTGTAGATCCTCAAATTCCCAAATTCTTACTACCACATTCCTAAATTTTCAAATCCACGAATCAACCATAAAAATTCTCAAAATCTCAAGGTTCCTAAATTTCTAGGAAGCAGTCTATCACAATTCCCAAAATGAAAAAATTCCCAAATCCCACAATTTTCAAACTAAAAATAGAATCTCCAAAACTTTTATAAATCCTGTAATTTGACAAGTAAAACTAGAAAAGTGTCTCAGAACCTTCCATCACTCGAATTCTACGTAGCAGAGTGTCACGTACGGAATACTCGACGCGTTTCTCGCGCCTCGTGTCCTCGCCACCTGCAACGAGTAACGTCAGTATCCTGCGACGATCTCGCGTTCCCGAGGGATTATCGTTGGAAAGAAGTCAATTGTAAGGAGCCGATTATAGCTAATGTGGGGGTTGCAACAGCCATTATCGACCGGAAACTGAAATTTGATTTTGTGTCTTCGTATCGCTTCTCGCGGCATGACTCTCGTTCGCGTCCTGAATCCGCAATGGTCTCCGAACATGGTTACACCGTCAGCTGATAGAAGTGGCTGTACGTGATCCGCTAACAAAACGTCCGTGGAAAAGTGTAATTGAATTAATAAACCACCACGAAATCTGGCGTGGAGCTTATTTACCTCGGTACGTCTGCAACGAGTACCGCAGAACTCGAAAAAATAGAACATTCTATGGACGTTCGTGTTTCTTGCCCTGAATTAACGACCGTGTACAGTCGACGGCAAATTTCAGTTTCCTAGGAAAAATTTACCTAGTGCGGAAGAAATCGTAGCAGATTCGTTGAGTTTTAGGTATTATTCGGGGTTTAATAATTTTGGGGTGGGTTTGGATTTGGGGATCTTAGAATATGCGAATTTTGGGATTTGATAAGGAAATCTAGGACTTCG